CACTACAATCTGGAGAGGAAAAAAATAAATCAGGAATATCTGCTATATAAAGTGACCTGTGATCACACTGATGAATCCTGTTCACTAATTCCCCTTCCTAAGGTAAAAAAAAAAAAAAAAAAAATAAAATCTGTGTTCTAAAAAAGTTCTCAAAATCCCACAAAAACTATGCCTGTCCCTCAAAACAGCTGCTGAGCAGACAGATGTTACCACTTGCTAAAAATAATAAAATTGACTGAGTAGAGGCAGACCTCAGCTTGAATCAAGAGATAAGGGATTAAAGTGCTGAGGGGAAAACAGTCACAAGAGCAGACATTGCCTCACCTGCTCTGAACAGTACCTGTAATGGACATCATTCAGCCTCTCCATTATGATGGGAAATTTAGTATGCTGCTGGCAGGAACATAAAGCCTCTCCTGATTCGTTCTCCAGTCCAGGGAAACCAGTTGAAAACATGCTGAAGCAAGCCTTTTTTTCTTTTGTTTATGCAAAACAAGCAAGTTTGATAAACACACTTCAGAGACCTAGAGTCTAAACATAAACAAGCCAGTTCAGCAAGTGAACAGAGAATGCAATACCTGCTCAGGCTAGGATACTGTATAACAACCACCATCTTATTAATCCAAAGCACTGAAGATTTCCCCTTTTAGCAAGGGATTGCAAGTGAGCTTGCAGAACATTTGAGCTATTGCTAAACAGTATTTCTTAGTTACAAGGACTGGTGTAGGTCCTGCTTAGCACAAAATACTTTTCACACTACACCGTGAAGTCTAAAAGCAAAGGTTATAAATGTAATATCGGCATTTGAAATCTGGCTGGCCAGCAACCCTCCTCAGTTTGCTGACAGTAATTAATTTACCTTCTTCACAAAATAAGTCACTTAAGTAGTTTTTCTGCCTTACATTTTCAATTTTGCTGTCTCAAGGATGTGCTTCCTAATTGTACAAACATTCTTTTAAAGACTAGGAAAGAGTTAATTAACTAGTGAATAACAGAAACATTATAAAAACTTTTCAAAACAGACATCATGTCAAAGAGCCATGATACAACCCTGAAACTGCCAGTGTATCAAATGGCCAGTCCAGCCACTAGTGACTGCGCAGAACTACTCTCTGCTGTTTCTTCCTCCTCCATCCTACCTCTTCTTCCTGAAAGGCATAGGAAGGGTCCAAGTGGCACCGAAATAAAACCTGGGAGTAACCTAAGGAAGGACCAATTCTCTACACTTGGAACGTTTCCTAGTTTATCACAACACTCCTGCCTCTGTCTCCTCCACATAAAGAGATGAGTAGCTTAACAGGGCAAGGCTGCTTCTTCTGGCATATTTGTAGAGCCTAAGAGATATCAAGAGTAAGAAGTATTGCCTGCCAAATGAAGTGGGAAATGCGATTTACTTCCAGGTTCCCTTGCCAAGGCCTGTTTCTCAAATATCAGCTGAATTTATCCCAAGCACTGGTGTGCATAGCTGCAGTTGGATATGCCATTTGCCATTTATTTCTTCCAAAGACAGGAGCCCAGGAAGTGTTTTCACCTCTTTATAGATTTATTAAATTCTACTAGATTTAGACCTAAGCTTAAAGTCTCACTCAGTTTCTTTTCTGTCTGTCCCCCAGTTTGGGTCACAGACCTGAGAATGTTTCAGTGCTCTGTGCTTACCTGCAGAAACCTGACCCCTGTGCAAAAAGAGCATTTAAACACTTGTAATGGGCACCCCTAATAGAAGTGATTTTATTAGCAGAGCCACTACTCTCTTAGTAATTCAGTTTCACTTAACACCTGTGAGACCCCAATTATGTACCTGGCTAGAGTTCCTTCATCCAAAGTACAAAGTAGGTGTCATCTTAATTCACTGTTCCATTTAAAACTTGGTATCTCAAGTGCTAGAAGTCCCTGCCCACTGTATGTAATTTATGTTTGCAATCCATTCCCCCTTCCCTCTCACCTAACATCCTACCCTTCAAAATGCAGGGTGTAACCTTCGTGCACATTCACCCAACTCCTACCTAATCTGTTTCTTGAAATATGTGAGGTCACGAGTTATGGCCTCCACATGTTCCTAAATACCTGTATACTTCTTTCAAACCAGAATGGGGATGATTTTACAAATAGTAATCTCCTGCTATCTGGGCAGCCTGGCTCAAGTTTTCACCTCCCCTAAAAACCCATTCGTAAACCATTCCCATGTCAGATCTGCAGATGAATAAGCCTGGTTTTAGAGATCATTTTCCATCTGTGACTCTCCATGTTGCTTTACCAAGGAGGAACAGGTATTTATCTCATTTAATGAATGATGGAGACAAATGTACTCAATCCATAGCAAGCTCAGTAATGACTCCTACAGATGACTCTTGGAACTCTGTTCACTAACTTAACTGGTGCAGGGTCACCCTTTGGTACCTAACAATTTTCATGTGAGGAGAAGTTAGACAAAGAACATCATCTTATCTGGTTCTTCACAAAACCAAGTCACTCCAGAAATTTTAACTAACATAAGAAAAACATTTTGCCCATTACATTATTGGGTAACAACTCCATTTTTGTAATAGGCTACCCAAGCCTCAAAAAGTTTGGTCAAGTCTTTGTTAAATACTGTAAATTACTTTTCTCTATATAAAAGCAAACTGTCTTTCCAGATAAAATAAAGATAAATTGAAATAGGACAAGTATGATGATGTTATATTAGCAGCTTTTGTTTTTCTTTTTTTTTTTTTTTCCAGCACCATTCACTATTTTTTTTTTCTGTGGTCTTAAACAAATTATGCAAGATTTGTGTTAGAAAAAGGGTCTCCCCTCAGTCTAGCAGATAAAGAAGCAACAGTTTCTAAAGGCTGGCAAGTTAAGCTGGGCACATTCCCATTAGGAACAGTCTTTTAAAAAGTACTAAAGACAGCAATTAACTGTTGGAACAACTTATTAAGAATGGTAATGGCTATCTCCATCACCTGAAACTTTCAGCTAAAGCTGCTGGTTATGAGGTAGTAATTACATTAATGGAATTTCTGTGGTTGTCTTTATGAGTAAATTAAAACAGATTATCTGAATTTATTTATCTCCAGAGTGGGGTATAAATCTCCAGAGTTTATCACCCTCCTTTAAAGGCTAGTAAAGCTATACTTACATTAATTTATCCTATATACTGAAAGTTCTTACCAAGCTGACTTAAAAAAGCATGTCCAGTTTTCATATTTGTAGAATGAGGTCACGGAAAGCACCTACAAAACTGTAACAATATGACGGGGGAGGCAGGCAGTTCAGACAAAGCATCCGTTCTGAAATGTTTCAAATAATTTTATTAAACAATCATGTTTTACATGTCATCAGACCTAACCCCTGAAGTGCAAAAATGTTTGAGGTATTAAGACTGGAGGAAAACAGGCACGGTATTGGCTGTTAGGGATACCACACTACAGCAGAGTGGACTTTGCAAACAACAGGCCTTTTTACAGCATTTGCAGGATCAAAGAAAACTGAGAACAAGTCTGTATTTGTCTTTAAATCTTGAGAGCCAAAGAGCCCTGATCGTTAGCCAGTTGTGTCACATCAATGAAAACAAAGACATGGTTAACACAGGATGATGATAAATATCAATGAGGTGTTCCTAGGCCAACATGTACAGTACATGAAAAATGAAATTTAACTGCTGTATGTGTGGCCAAAATCCCAACTGTCTATCCAGTCCAGCTTAATATATGTTGTGTCCACCATGGCCTCTCTAGTACCAGCATTTTTGTCTATTCTACACAGCTATGCCACTGCCCTGTGCTCCTGTTTGAAGGCACCTGGTCACTCATACTCACTTCAGCTAAGTCTGATGTTTATCAGATTAACTAGAGTCAACAGTAAAGTACTGTTTGTGCCCTGTTATTATTTTAGTTGCCCTCTTCCCCTCATCCATGCAGTAAAATGTTTGATCCATGCAGAAAATCTGCTAAAGAAATAAGCGCTGATTTACAACTCTTCATGTAGAAAGGAAAGCCTTATCGGAGAACTGCAAAACTCATGGGGCAAAACTGGCCCTTACAAATTAGGATATTAACGAGACTTTTACTCAACTGCCAAATTGTGCTCCAAAAATAATTTTGTATGAGGAAAGTTTGGGCATTACATGTTCATATTAGCTTCCCTTTTCAAGGAGTCAGTGGGAAAGGAATACTTTTCACCTTGTAGCAGTTCCCAGGATTAGAATTTGACTGAAGGCTGCACATGTGGCAATTCTGTGTAGAATTAACTTTCTGCTTAGATTTAAAGTTAGGTTAAAAGTTTAGTTCAGTTAAAGTTGATTTAAAGCTCTCGGATTCTCAATGATTTTGCTGGAAAAAGTTTTTTCCGCGTCAAGAACTGCAGCATTGTTCCCTGGGACCAGCTGCAGTTTGCCCTAAACCATTTGACTCAAAGATACCCAGCCAAATTATGTCCTTCATGTGCAATTCAATGGAAAATATATTTAAGAAAACGTTTCCAAGTGAATAATAAGCAAAAGTCACTTATTCTAAGTCTCTCTGGGGTTATTTTTAGCCAAGATAGATGAAAACAAGTTCCTCCTGAGACACAATAGTTCTTTCAAATTTGTGAAAAATACCATGACAAAACAGAAGTGATCCTTATCTTAGTATGTGTTTATGAACTTAGGAATATTTCTGAATGTGTCAGGTTTTGTATAAGAATGGTATACTTGGAAAGGTTCTCACCTTCAGCATCTTCAGCTTTGAGACCTTACTGGGAAGCTGGAGACACAAGCTCTATTGTCAGCACACCCATGGGCATAATGTCATACAGTCTGATCACAAACACAATTGAGATTCTCGTAATTTTCTAGGATTGTTACCAACATCACTGCTGCTTACCTACCCAACATCATCTAGCAAATCTACAAATATAGAATAGCTGGAATAGAAGCTGGATACAGCTGGAGTGTTGCCTTAATATCATTTTTTAATGGAATAATATTTCATGGACAGCAAAGGCAACCCCAAAGAAAAAGTGCAAGTAAATGATCGCTTTCAGTTGAAAACTGGGTTTCGGATGCCACTCAAGACTGAACTGTTGGGCCACTTTCTGTGCAGAAGAGTTAGGGAACACATAAAAAAGAAAACGCTTGTGATTCCTAGGATGACAATGCCTGAAATCAGTGTGCTGGTGACCGAGTTCAGCTGGAAAGGAGGTCCGTTTGGATGAGCTGCAAGGAGAACAAAAGTGCACAGGTAAGATCTAGTTAGAATCTCTCAGCAGTGCCAAACATTTCTGTCTTTCCATTACAACATCCTATATACAGAATAATTAAAATGAAGGGAACAAAACTGTACTTCAGAATGAGCACCTGTCTACTTGGATAAAGCTTATCTAAGTATACTTTGAAAATAGTTATTAGTTCTTTCAATACCCATCATGCTGGGGGATAAAGACAGTAAGGATACTTCTAAGGCATAATCCCTCATATGCTAGTAACCGACCTTGATCTGCACTATAAGGCAAGACTATCACTGTCCAAGAACTATCAAGGCAGAGGTATAAGGATTTGCAGCCTAACCAAGTTAATAAAAAGATTTCTTCCCTGATATCATTATCCACATCTCAATTTGAAGGGTATATAAACACTTAGCAGGCATATCTGGCACCAGATATCTGAGCTACTCCAAGCTTGTCTGTACGCCTTCACAGAAGGCTTCTTAACATGTTCATCAATTCTCAGAGAGAGAAGATAACATATGTATTTACTATTTAGTGTAGCTCAACAGGCTGTTCATGGACCAATTCCTGGATACTGGAACACACATATCCAGCCTGTACCATCTTTTCTAGCGGGGGGTGGGGGGGTGGAATTGAGTGGTGTGTTTGCTTAAGAGCTGTGTTGTTTGCCATTACCAGTGCTGGAGGGTGAGGTGAAATGACAACAGAGCTTCTACCTGGGAAACCAGACTGCTCCTCCCAGAAGCAGCCACCTTCCCTCAACACCATCAATATCTCTCCCTTCTCACCAAAGCTGAAAAAAGTCAGCTCTGTTGATCAGGTTTCCCTCCCCTTCCCAATGCTGTGCTGCCTTCTGCCCTTGTCTTCTCTTCACTACAGTAGTGACCCCACCTTGCTCTACCTCTACGCTCTCCGCTAGGACAGCAACAGGCACAGGAATGCTGTTGCTCTGGGATGGAAAGAGAGGGCTGCTGCTTTCATTGGATGGGAAGGGAAGGCAGCAGCCATTCA